CCAAAGGCTCCTAACAAGATAGAATATAAGCCTGCTGTTAAGGGCTTCCCAAGATGAGGAAAACAGGGTGGATAATGTCAAAACCTGGCATAGGACTAAAGCCAGAAAGCTCTCATTCACCCTCTGAGAAGAGTGTGTTGTTAGGTCCCCACAGGAGATCTACCACTGACACTCAGCTACAGTTTAATAGGCAAGTAGGCATTTTATAATTAGAAAAATACAACAACCTGAGAGGCAAACAAAATGAGTTCTAATTTTACAGATGAATCCTAGAGGTAGAGGCTGACTGATGAACATCAAACTTTACCATGCTAGGTAAAACTTACTGATCCTGGAATGTGAAAGGAAAATCAAGGACCACAAAATGAAACCAGCTGCTCTATGACTCCCCAGGCTTTCTGACAAAATTATTGAATATTTACGACACCCAAATACTGTTGGGCATGATGGGAAAATCAATAAGCACATAAAACCTGTTCAACTTTGAGGAGGTTACAATTTGATATTTAGGTATCTGTATGATCTTATGGTATAGTAGTAAGCTCGAATTTTATCTCTACCACTTAATAAATTTAGAAATTTGGAATGGTTGTTTAACTTCTCTACCTTCCAAATCAACCTTTCAGGGCTGCTGTTAAGACTGGAGATATCAAATATTAATAGCCAAACACTCAATAAATGGTAGCTCTTATTATGTGCTCAAACACATAAACTATGCTCACTTTCACTTTCTTCAAATAAAGGAACAACATAAAAATTAGAACAAATTGATCAGTTAACAATTACAATTTTAATAAATAAAACTTAAGATTTCAGAGAAATATCACACACTTATTCCAAATTGGCTTCTATATAAGTATAGTTCCATAGATACAGACTATATGCAAAGAGAATAAGACTGTGGAATCTCATGTTATGATAAAAAATAATCAGCTTGAAAAGAATAGCACCTTTATTGAATTATCATTTAAAACTTTAATACTAGGAGAGAAAATGGATTCAAAGAAATAGAGAATAATTAAAAATATAAAACTTTCTTACAGAGATACTTCAGTTGACTTTCCCAAAGAAGGTGAATCTAAACAATAAGAAAGATCTCTAGAGGAGAGAGCAAACTGAAAGGAAACTAAGGGGAATGCAGTATCTCTTAAGTAAAACAATCACAGCTTGACACAGTATAACTTAGTGATTAAGAGCATGAATTCTGAAACCGAAGTGCCTAGGTTCAAATCCCATCTCTGGCTTTACAGCACTTTTGACAACTTCTTTACTTCTCTATACATCAAAGTGGGAATAATATTAGCACCTTTCTCATAATACTGTTATGATAAGTTAATGTATACAAAGTGCTCAGAACAGTGCCTGGCATATAGGAAGGTCCAAACAAATGTGCTCATTATCATCACCATCATCATTAAAATTATAATTATAGATATGGTGAGCACAATTCTGAGAATCATGTCAAAAGAAGCAATTTCATAGAACTAAGATGGAACTTTCTTTTTGCATAATGACTAATTTGTGTTTGGTTAACTTACTTGGTGACAATGTTCTGCCAATTTGTGCAAAGTCGAAGGTTTGCTTTTCCTGTGGGCCTGTTGGCTACATTCCATGGCCACATTAAGACACTAATACTGACCAGCAGTATTCAACATATTCTCCTGGTTTTAATAAAGTGGTTGGTAAGAAAATGTAAATGGATTAATATAAATTCATGAATAACTTTAGAAAAAATGAATTGATAAATATGTTCCTGTTGATCATAGTTTTGTCATAGGTTGATAATTTTTGTAGAAGGTTGTCAAGTTTTGTCATAGGTTGATAATTTTTGTAGAAAAAAACAGACTCAGAGACAAAAAGTGACTTAAACAAGATCACATGATTACTCTGTGCCAGAGCCAGAACTCTCAGCCCATATAGCTTTTTGTTTGGTTTTTCCATTATCCTACATTCATTAAATATAGAATGTTTTTATTATCTCTGAGAACTTCCTATTTAAAAATTCTATTTCTGTTATTATAGTTTATTATGCCATTATGAAAAACTTAGCCCCAACAACAGAAGCGGGATTTTAAGGCCATGGTAAGACTTCATTATTAGAAAAATGGTAAGCCATTTTGAGGTATTGAGCACATAAAGAGTGACATTACCTGACTTAAATTTTTAAAAGATCACTTTGCCTTAAGAATAGATGATGGGGCAGCGGAGGGGGGGGATGTGGCAAGGGTCAATTAGGAGGATATCACAATAACCCAGGTGAGCGACGATGGTGCCCTGGACCAGGATGGCAGCAACAAGAACGGCAATAAGTTGTCAAAGTCTGGATATGTTTGGATGGTGGCACCAACAACATTTCCTTTTATGTTCATGTGAAGTGTGAGAGAAAAGAGGAGTCATGGAGGCAAGGGAATATAAATCTTCATTCAGGAAGTTCTAATTTTTTTAATTAAGTGTCTTTTGCTGCAATCTAAACCACGACTTACTTATCTTCACTTCTATGAAAAGAGGTCCATCACCATCTATACAATGCCCTCTTGGAAATCTGGCAGCAGCCAGAATCATACCATGTGCTGTGAAAGAAACCAAACAATGGCTCCTGACCTCAAAAGAGTTTATCATCATTTAGTAAATGAAACCCCTTCAAGTAGGAGGGAGATATATTTGACGACACTGCATATGTAGCTAGAAGTTGCAACTTGATGTTAAACTAAAACCCTTCTGGACATGCCTGCAGAAATGAGAAGAGAACCAAGCCCACCAAATGTCCATTGCCATGAGGGACAGAGGAGAGTTTGGGATAGAATTTATCCCTCAGAAAGTGGGAGAATCAAACATCTGAAGAGAAAGCTAATTCTAGGTACAGTGTAGTGTTACTACTTGGCTTGGTTCCCTGTTTAGCTCCCTATGGACTCATATCTGAACTGATCTCTCTCCCAGGGAAGGGAGATAACTATGAACCAAGAATAAGAAGAGGTCATTTTCCCCCAAATCCTCTAAGATATGAGAGCAACAGCCAATACCACTCTGATAGACCCTCGAAGAATATAGCCCGGAAAGGCAGAGAAGCAGCAAGTGGGGCATAGCTTTGGCATCTCAAGGGCTCCATGGGTCACTGGCAATAACCACTGGCACGGGGAAGAGCATCCTCAGAAGTTCAGGTGTTCACTGTTATGACAGTTCCCTAGAATGTGTCAGCAGGACCCAGCAGAGGTAGGGCAGAGAGAAAGAGGAATAAAAGAGGTAGATATCACATGTAGCTGACCTCTTCATAAGCAAGCATATGTGAGACTCAAATACTTGTATGAGCTCAGCTGTATTGCAGGTAGGCAAGAGCCAGAGAAGGAAGTTTACATCGCCATCTTCGTTCAATATTTAAATAATGATGATGGAATGAATCCTTTACACTCCAAATACTCACTGCAACATTTGTATAATTATATTTCACAATTAGGCAGTCTGTATATCCCAAAGCTCACATATTTGCCACATCTCTTTAAGCTCTCTAGAATCCAGGTAGATAGTGTCTTTATGGATATTAAAGAGAATGAATTCTGAAAACACAGACAATTGTTCTTTTGAAAATGGTAAACATGAGAATATTTTTAAAACAATTATCCTTCATAAAAGCAGTCATTTTACAAAACTAATAAAAAGGGCTGAATATCTGCAGGCCACCTGTCCTGGTACATATATTACCGACCTTATGCTGCATAACACTTCAACAATGCTGCTTACCTCCTTTTCACTCATAAAGGAAATAATACTCCTTTTTAAAATACTTGTTTTTAAGACTTGCTTTCTTAAGTTGCCTCACACAACTGCATCATGTTGAAGAAGCCAAAATGACATTTTGTGACAGTGTGCCAATTATACTTAAATTCAGTAATTTTCTTAATCTTGAATTATATTTTGATCTTGATTCCATATCTCCTCATGAGAGAGTACTTCTTCGTTTCTTTATTTTTTTAGTTGTATTTATATCCTGCCTTCTTCTCTAAAGTCTTTGAAGTGTCCTATACCTCCAGTACCAGATGATGATGAGATTAGTGCTACTACTACTGCAGTCATAACCACAAGTTCAAGGACAGAGGGAAAAGTCTGGAGAGGATGTCCATACCATTACTACTTAGCTTCCTAGAGAAGAGAGCCAGGGTTTGAGGTATTTCAACAGGTGAGGTATAGATTTTATTCTAGCCAATAGAGGAGATGGAAAGAGAAAAAGCAATCTGGAAGATGAGTATGACAAAGTCAGGGATCAGTGGAGGCTTTCATTTAGGTAAACTCAGTAGGTTCCCTGGAAAAATTTAGCAGTTCCTTTGTGCAATATTATAAGTAGGCAAATTAAACAAGATACCTGTTACATCAAAAACCCTATGAAAGATACAATGATACTGAAAATCTATTCCCACACAAGTACATATGATCTAGAAAGAAGAGCAGAGGTCTTGGAAGCCACCGCCTGCTATTTCAGGAGTCACATGCTGAAAGCATCCCTCAGCCATCCCATGTGTGTAAAAGAGCACATTATTAAGATCTACAGCTCAGCTGCATATTTTCACTTGCATTTAGCCAGCCCTTTAAATTTTGTATCTTACTATATATTTCCATCTTCACTGCTACCCTCCATCCACCAATACTCCATTAAGATTCTTATGTTTAGGAAGTGTGAAGACAAGCAGCATGTGTGTGGTTTGAGGGTCGGAGGATTGGAAGGGGCCCAAAGCATATGAAAAGAATAATTCTTCAGAACAAAACAGCAACAACTTCCCACCTTTTTCTGAAGTAGTCTCATCATCTTGTCATGGACTACCCTGCTCTTGTCTAGCAGGAAAATGATGATAGCCCCACTCTCCATGATCCAGAGTTAAGGTTCAGCCCAGAAGAGCACATCTTACCCTCTTTGAAGTCAGGGAATCCAGATTTGTGAGAACAAGCATATGTGGGCCAAAGTGTGTGTGTGTGTGTGAGAGAGAGAGAGAGAGAGAGAGATTGAGATTTACCTTCCAATGAGTGAGAACTCTCCCACGACGCCCAGGCGCCTCATGGCACTCAGGAGGCCTCGGACCGTCATGCCTTCGCAGAAGCAGACCACCACTCTGGCTTTGGGAAGCCTCTCCCGGAGCTTGCGCAGAAGTCGGTCAAAGCTCTTTTCCCCAGCATTGCTGTAGATTTTGTCTGAATGGGCGATGCAGAGGCCTTCCTGGGCAGCCAGCTCTTTGAAAGCATCCATTCCGCTCTCCCCATAATTCCCTGTCCAGAAACAATCAGCAGATGTTCAAGACAACCTGGCAGCGCAGGGGTCCTCAATAAGGCAGGGGAGGTATAGCCTCCCAGGCAGGGGTCAGCTGAGATTTACATAAGCCTACTTTCACAGTAGCTGGGCGAATGGTGCACAAGGCAGATAGGGAATCTGGGCAGGCCACTGACGGCATCCTCTATTCTAAGTAACCATCAGTTCTTGCCTAGACAACTGCCCTACCCCCTGATTGTTCTCCCTGCTTCTACTCTTGTTCCTAATGATTCATTCCACACATAACAGAGTGATCAGTTAAGATGGAAATCAGGTTATATCACACCTCTTCAAAAAGCTTCAATCACTTCCCAGCACACTTGGAATGATACCAAAACTCCTTTCCCTGAACTACCAGCCTTTATGTGGACTGAGCCTTCCAACTTCCTCAACCCCATCTCTGCCCACTTCCTCTCCCCCACCTTCTCTAGACCCATAGATGTGTTTCTATTCTTGGAATACCCTAAACTCATTCATGCTTCTATATTAGCTGTCTGTATCACCTGAAAAGATGATCTTCTACAGATGTTCTTGTCGATCTTGTCTCAATATAAATACCACCCCTTCTGAAAAACCTTTCTTGATCAGTTAGCTTCAAGTAACCCCCCAGCAAATCCTGATCATGTCTCTTGATTTTATCTTAGAACATATGTCTGACATTTTTCTTGTTAATTTTTCTTTTCCCCCCTTGAATATAAGCTCCATGAGAACATCTTTTTATGACTTATCCAATGATGTATCCTTAATCTTTAGAATAGTTCTAGACACTAAATGCATAGTAAAAGTGCATTTGTTTTAACAGCACAATAGAGAAAGGAGCAAAAGTTATAAAGAAGCAATTTAAACAAAATAAGTAAAAGTGGGTGATAAGCATATGAAAAAAAAATTACTGAATATCATTAACTACCAAAAGAGTGCCATTAAAACCAGATAGTTTTTTTTTCACCTATCAGATTGCCAGAATTACAAAGATTAATAATATTTAATGCTGGCAAGACACAAATACATTTACTTTTCATGAAAGCAATTCAAACTTTTGGTAGACAATGTGGCAGTAGTTTTCAAAATTTTTTAGGTAAGCATCAGTATACAATATATATAGTATACAATATGTACAGTAATAGTTAAGTCAAAATAATTGTAAAAGAATGATACCCCCCAAAAAAGGTCTTAGGACTTAAATCTTAACATCTATAAAAGCTTTGTGGGCACTGTAATGAACCTTGTAAGATTTTCCTATATTGTTGAAAGGAAATCTTTCTCATTTCCTTTTTCATAAGATTAAATTATCAATTAATGTATTTGCTTTTTAATTTAACCACCTTCAGTGGCCTAATCCAGTCCAGTGAAGCCCAAATGGGAGCATTAACTTGTCACAAAATTCTCAGCTCCACAGACTTTGGAAACACATCATGGCTCAGAAAAGAGGCAGTGACTGAGTATAAGGGAGAAAACTGGCTGGCAGTGGATGCTCATCTGTCTGCAGAAGAGTGTTTGAGAAGGACATCAGATGCCACTTTCCCATAGTAAATGCATGTTCAAGAATCTACAAGGTACACAGACATCACTCGCCAACTCTCTCAGCAAAGGCTCTATCAGTCTGTCAGAAGACGGTGTTACAAGGGCAGTAACTTTATTGCTAAAGTCCCATCCTTAGATTTCAAACACAGAAAAATATTTTATTCCCTTATCAAAATACATACAGACTAACTGAGCAAGAATGTTCTATGCATTCAAATGAGAAAATCTTTGGTTTTTCTTAAATCTAGTAAAGGCCTTAGATATAATCTGTCCAAACATTTCAGGTTACAGACAAGGAAACTGAACCACACAGGGGCAATGGCTCACCAATGGGCATGAAGCTTGTTTGTGTTAGAACTAGAGCAGTTTTAAATGACTTGAGTCCTAGGTTACTGCTCATTTTTCTTAATAGTTAAATCAATTAAATATATGTTTTCATAATAAAAAATGTCTGCATGGGCCAATTGGTTTCATGAAATATTTGTCACACTTTCTGTATTAATATTTTATTTGGATAGCAGCTCCTCATTATAGAAACTGATAGCCGAATATCATGCATTGGGCCATGTTTCAACTGCCCATTTTTCTCATGATGCCTAAAAGACTCCAAAGTAGCACATAAATTTCCATGAGAGCAGTTCTGATATAGGAACAACAACAATAATAACTTGTACTTTTATAAATCTTTATACTCTAAAAATTACATCCACAAACATATCTTATTTGATTCTTAGAACAGCCCTATTGTAGTCATCATACTGATAATAGCGCTAGAAGCAAAGACCATAAAAAAATGGGAAGAAAACTGCCGCCAGGAAGTTTAAAATCATGTTACTTTCATTTAGTAGCAACAGAACGAATGACATGACACACACAAGTTTAAGTATCTAATAAAGGTGCTATGGGTTAGGATTCAGGAAAAGCTGCCTAAAGATGTGCCACCTGTTGGAAAGGATATAGAGAAAATGGAACCCCTGGACACTGTTGGTGGGAATACAATTTGGTACACCCATTATGGAAAACAGTATAAGGTTCTTTAAAAAAAAAAAAATTTAAAAAGAACCACCATATGATCCAACAGACACATTACACAAAACACGTATATTTAAAGGAAGCAAAATCAGTATTTCAAGGAGATTATCTGCACTCTCATGTTCATGGCAGCATTATTCACAATAGTCAAGATATGAAAACAACATAAGTGTCCATCAATGGATGAATGGATTAAAAAAATGTGGTCTATATTTATGATAGAATATTAGCCATAAAAAAAGAAGGAAATCCTGCCATTTGCAACAATGTAGATGAACCTGAAGGACATTATACTAAGTGAAATAAGCCAGACATAGAAAGACAAATACTGCAGGATTTTACTTATGTGTGGCATCTAAAAGAGTCAAACTCAGAGAGCCAGAGAGTAGAATGGTGGTTACCAGGGATGAAGAGTAGAAAAAATGAGAAGATATTGGTCAAAGAGTACAAACTTTCAGTTACAAGATGAATAAGCCCTGGGGATCTAATGTACAGCATGGTGACTATATAATGATATATATTATTACATATAATAATACATAGTTAATGATATATATTATATACTTGAAATTTGCTAAGAGAATAGATATTAAACATTGTTACCATGCACAACACGTAACTATGTGAGGTAATGGCAGTGTGAATTAACTTGATAGTGGTAATCCTTTCACAATGTATATGTCTATCAAACCATTACATAGTACACCTTAAATATATACAATTTTATTTGTCAATTGTACCTCAATATAGCTGGGTGGGTACCTTTATTCTGGGTCTTAAAATATCAATAGATTTTCTACAAATAGAAAGAAAATTAGGGGACAGGTACTCTTTGCCTCTCTACCAGGTCATGAGCAAACAATGCCAGACTGAAACTAAAATATTCAGCACTGAGCCCACCCTCTGCCTCCCCTCCCCCTTCCATTCAGCTGTGCAGGCCTCCTCTTGCCTTTCCTGACACTAAAGCATTTATTTAGATATTTCTGTGTGCAACCCTGAAGGAAGCTGTGAATATATAAAGAACTGACTCTTAACAAAACTCTCAAAAAATAAAAGGGCCATGTAACTGGACACACTCAGACTTGATAGAGGGCTGCATATTTTCATTCAATTAGCAAATAGTTTATTGAGCTCTCAACTTGAAAAAAATCCTGGCTCTGCACTTAGAGAGTTGCCAAGAAATACTGGACATGGGCTCTGCCTTCAATTTGATGAATATTTACTTTGTGTCTGGCACTGTGCTATGCATCTTAGCATTTCACTAATTCAACACAACTCCATCATAAAGGTTATAACTCCCCTTATACAGATGAGGACATAGAGGCTCTAACAGGTTAAGTAACTTGCCCAAGGTCATAGAGAGGAGGGCCTAGGATTTAACATCTAGCTCAGAAGTTCTTGCTTATCATCATTTCATACTGCCTCCTACATGGACTTATATATAGTAGTAAGAGCATGACACAAGCACACAAACTACAGCAACAATAATCAGTTATAAATACTACATGGGAAATGAAAACACTGTAATACTAAATTACAGACTAAGAAAGCAGAAATGATCATAGAATGCCTCTTTGAAACACAGGAATGCAACTGGACTTTGAAGAATGTAAGCAAGATACTGGCATTCAGAATGAAGGGGAGCAAATGAGCATTCACAAAAAAAAGATTTTTAGAGGCAAGAAGTAAGAAGTCCCACTGGAGCAGAAGGTTCACGGTTTATAGAAGGACACTCTATACAACGGATCCCTAGTGAAGCATCTGGCATACCACCTCAAGATTGCAACATGGAAATGTGCTGTATGTTGCTGTGTTGTAACAGATTTTATAACAGACTTTATCACTGTTATAATGTTGCCTAAAACCTAAAGCGTGAGAAAGGGAAGAGTGGCATCTGACAAAGCCCCTAAAATATAACAATAAAATATGTTGAAAAATCTTAATTTCTATCTTATATGACAAAATAAACTACAGAGTATATCAAGATTTTCTATAAAACTAAGCTTCCAAACAAAACTTATGGGGAAATTTATGAGAGAGAACAAGGGGTTTACAAAGAAATTCCCATTGTTTGGAACTCAATGTTTTTAAAGATTTTGTTTATTTATTTGTCAGAGAGAGAAAGAGCACAAGCAGGGGTAGTGGCAGGCAGAGGGAGAGGCAGGCTCCACACTGAGCAGGGAGCCCGATACGGGACTCGATCCCAGGACCCTGGGATTATGACCTGAGCGGAAGGTAGACGCTTAACCAACTGAGCCACCCAGGCATCTCTTGAAAATTAATTAAAAAAAAAAAAAACTTAAACATAATAGAACTAGATATTATTGTCTACACAGAACAAAGTTTAAAAAGGTACTGAAAACAGTGGTAAAAAATAGATCTCAAGAGAGAAAAATAATGGCTATAA